GGCGGCGTCAGCCGGCTCGCCTGGGGCTGGGGGAGAATCCCCCCACCCCGCTCTCCACTTCCGCTCCGTGCGTCGGGGGGTAAGGAGGGCGCTGGCTGCAGCCCAGGCCGGGGATGCGGACCGGGCTCTGCCAGTGCTCCCGCTGGGACTTCAAGCCTAAAGGGTCTTGCCCCTCTGCTCAGGTCAGCCCAATTGCCGTATTTGGGGTCGAGAAGGAATTTTACCCCCGGGTCAGACTGATGTGCACGGCAAGGGGGGGGTTGCTCTGCTCTGTAGAAGGGGCACAGCCTCTACCTGGGGTCCAGTGCATCTGAACCCTTGCAGCTGGCACCACCCTGGTCCTGATGCACCTGCAGCTGCATGGGGCAGGGGCAGGGGCAAGCAACCTGACCTGTAGTCCTCCCGCGTGGCCACGAGGCTGGACACGTTGCGCAGGATGCCGCCCCCGCTCTCGATGATGGCCAGCGAGTTGCTCTGGCACTTGTAGGTGAGGGTGCTGACGAGGAAGCCCAGCGCCCCCTCCACCAAGCAGATGGCTGCCTTGTTCTCCGTGCTGTGGGCCGACAGGTTCCACAGGGCGCTGAGCACGCTCTTCAGCGTGGACTCCTGACGGGACAGACACGGCATCAGCCTCCTGTGTGATGCACGTGGCACAGGGGCGGGCGGCCTGTGCATGGTTGTGTGTGCCCGGGGAGGACTTTGCCCCCCCAACCCCAGCTCCCGGGGGTCTTACCTTGGTGGCACGCAAGGCGCACTGCATGAGCCCGGTCACGCTGCCCACCTCCCGGAGGATCTTCTTGCTGTTGATGTCGGCCCGCCACGAGAGATTCCTCAGGATGCTGGACACCACCTGGGGAGGAGGGACGAGCGTGGCCGCATGCCCCGGGCATGACAGCCTGGCGGCGCCCAGCCCAGACGTCCAGCCCCGGACTTCCAGCTGTGCCCAGAGGTGCCCTGAGCTGGCAGTGCCCAGCAGAAAGTAGGACTGGCCCCTCCTGGGGCTCAGTGTGTGGTCCTGGGTCCCACAGGTGCAGGTGTGCAAGGGTCTGGTGCACCGTGCAGCCCAGTCCCTGTACATGCTGGGGTGCGTGGGACCCCCCCCCAGGCCCACCTACCTGGTGCAGCTCCTCGCTCTCCGATGCCAGCTGGGCCACGATGGCCTGCATGCAGCCTCGGCGGGAGCACAGCGTTGCCTGCCACGGGGACAAGCGCGGGGTCAGATCATGCGGGCAACCCTCCCCGGTGCCCTCCGTGCCCAGCCCTGCCACCCTGTCCAGCTGCCTCCCCTTGGTGAGCCCCTCCAGTGCTCAGCTCCCCCTGAAACGGGCACCTTGTTCACCACATCCCCGAAGGTGAGGTTGGTGAGCGCCATGCCCGCGTATCGCCGCAGCGCCAGGTTGAGGGGGTCGCTTGTCATCTTGTGCATCTCGTAGTCCACCTGCAGCAGCTCGGCGACGGCCTGCAGCCCACCTGGGATGGTGCGGGGGGAGAGCGGACTCAGGCCCGGAGCCAGGCTGGAGCTGGGCCCACGGCAGGGAGGCCAAATACTTCCATCTGCATTGCCCCTACGGCCCCCCACCAGGAGGCAGGGGCACAGCCCTAGGTTTGGGCTGCTCCTGAAGGCCGGGTGGCACTTACCCAGCTCGTTCATGGCTCGCCGGTACTCCTCGTCGAAGGACAGCTTCATGACGGCGCAGGTGGCCTGGCAGATCTGCGGCTCGATGGGCACGGGGGCTGCAGGGAGAGTGGAGGCGAGTGAGGCCGGCAGGGACCGGGGGCCCAGCCAGCAAAGGGCAAGGAGAGGGGCAGGGCCAGGCTCCGGGGGCCCCATCGGCACCCCGGATCCCCCCCGTCTGCTCGCCCCTCCGGGAGAGCACGCACAGCCCCAGGCACCGCACGTGCTCCCTCCCACACGCCTGCCCACGCAGACGCACGCGGTGCAGACGCACGCTGGGGTGCGATCCTGCTCGCACGGGTGCCTGCGCTCAGAAATCACACGCATGCACCGACACCCACAGGCGTGCACGCACACAGTTATATGCCGGCATGCACGTATTCATATCCCCCTTGCACACAAGAAGCCCGTCTCTCCCACGCGGCCGCCCTGGGGTCCACTCCCCTGCCTCCTCCCGGAGATCCCCAGCGCCCGCTGCTAGAGCCAGCCTGCCCCGTACCCGCGCTGCCCTCGGGGTCCTTGCCCCCGTCCTTGCTCTGCATCTGCAGCCAGTCCCAGCAGGTCTCCGAGTAGGAGCGGATCTGCTCCAGCACGTGCAGCACCCGCATCTCCCGCTTGGCCTGGCCCTCGTCGGGCTGCGAGAAGACGATGTTGTGCAGGGCGGCGTTGGCGCGCATACGGGCATCCTTGCCCCCACTCCCACCGGGGCTCTGGGGCGCGCCCGGGTCCCGTGCCGCGTCGTGGAGGATTTGGAGGAGCAGCAGGAGGCAGCCCGACTTGCGCATGGCCAGACAGCTCTCCTGCGAGCTGGACATGGCCAGCAGCGTGCGCGACATGTCGTCCTTGTCCCGCGTCGCCAGCATGGACAGGAGCCAGAAGACCACTTCCACCTGCTGGGGCAAGCGCCTGCTGGGTCACGGCATCCCCCTGCCCTCCTTGTAGCCCCGCTAGCCCTCGCCCCCCACACGACCCACCTCCCTTCCTCTTAACCCCCAGCCCCATCACCTCCAAGGGACCCAGCCCCTCCTAGCACCCACCCCCAAACCAGCACTTGGAGGTCGGTAACACTCGTGCCAACCACTGGCTCGGGGATACCTGGTCATGGGAGTCGAGGGCGCTCATCTCCCAGCAGGATCGGGCCCGAGGCGGGCGGCAGGGACCCGGGGGGGTGGCCCCACCTCTGTGGCATCCCTACCCCGCCACGGCACTGCCCATGGAGTCTGCCAGTGCCTACCCATCACCCCACGTGGCAAAGGACCTCAAGCTGGCCAGATGCAGCGGGCTGCCTTGTGTCAGGAGGAGAAACTGAGGCACAGAGAGGGGAGGTTTGCATCCCGCAGGCAGCATCTAAATGGCTGCTGCTCCCTTAAATAGCTTGCGGGTCTTCGAGGGGCGCTCGCTGTGCTCAGCACCCCGGGCGCCCTGTACAGCAGCAGAGTCGGGCCTGGGACATGAGCAGCGAAGTCCCCCAAGGCCATGCAGCTCCTCGGATGCTGGTCCCCACAGTCCGGGGACGCCCTCCAGGGCTGGCACCGTTACCTTACTGCTGCCCGCGTGGCTCGCCCCGTCCTCGGGATGCGTCGGGACATCCAGGCTGCCATCCCCCTCCAGGCCTTGCAGCTTCCCGCACAGCTGCAGGGGCAGACACAACGGGGAGGAGCTCACGACTCGGTCTGGGACACACTGCAGCCCCCCGGGGCAAGGGCGGGCGGCCGCGGCCTGTCTGGCTGCAGCACCGAGCACCCGCTGAGCCAACCCGGGCTGCCGCCACCTACGTCCCCTCCAGCTCCTTCGTCCCATGAATGACCCGGACCGATGTCCGCTCTTGTTGGGGCAAGGGGGTTCAGTGCAACGACCTGCCTCCAAAGCCAACCAGGCTAGTTGCTGCGCGTTTAGTCAGTGCTTCATTAATCAAGTACTGAATTAAACGCACGGTAACTACTGTGCTTTAACGAAGGTGTGGACGTGCACTGCATGGCCATTTGAGCTCCCGGCTGCGAGCCCCGATCAAACACAGCCGTGTCGTGTAGCGGGTATCCACACCGCCGCAGCGGCGCGGGAAGACCGCGGTCATCTCTGTGCGCTGTGTCTGGAGTCCTGCCTGCCTCGGTACCGTCGCGTTTTGCTTAAGGCCATATTTCTATAGCAAAGCCACAGGGGTTTGCACCGTCCCGCGGGGATTTGAACCGCATCCTGATTTAGGACGTTGTCGGTTTTCTTCCTAACGATGCTACGGTATTGTGCCCTATCGCACGGCGGTTTCTTTATGCACAATTGTTATTATAATGCTGAGGGCATCTCTCTCTCCCCGCTCGACAGGCCCCTTCTTGGAAAGCCAGCACCCCTGCTAGAAACGGAGAGGCTGTTCTCGGAGCCACAGGCTCAAAGAAAAAGAAAGGGACCTCAGGAGCTCACATCGAATCCACCCCCTGCTCCAAAGCAGGAAATAACCCCGTATTTTAATAGTCTGCTGAAAATACTAGTATTGCCTTCCTCCTAGAAGGCAGCTCCTTTCACGACTCAAGCCGGGGCGTGCTCTCCCCCGATTCGGGAGGAGCTGTCATGTCATGGCAGCATCTTTTACATCAGAAAGAACCACTGTAGTATTTGGGAGGAGATGGGAGGGTTTCTGGCACGGAGGCTGCGGTGCGCGCCACGCGACCGCAGCGCCGGGAGCACGGCAGCGCGGCTCTTTAAAAGAAAGCCTCGATTGCGCCAGGGAAGCCATCTCCACGCGGGACAAGGGCGTTGTGAGCCAGCCCGGCTGCTTTCGGGGTCGCTCGGAGCGCCCCGGGCTCGCCTCGGGTCTGGCGGGGTTCACGCGCGTGGATCCAGCCCTGGCGGCATTAATACGAGGGTCTGGGCTGTGCCCCCGCCTCGGCAAGGGGCCGCAGAGCCGCGCCAAGCAGATGCCCCCGCGGCAGCTCCATGGACTCGGCGCTCCCACCGCCGGCGCGGAGCCAGCCAGCATCCCCCCCTTCCCGTGGCCTACTTCCCGTCTCCATGGCAACTGCCCATTTCACGGTGCCGAGATGCACACAAAGGCTTGGCTCCGCGCGAGCAGAAGCAGCCAGGACCTGACTGCTTCCCCCTTGTCGATCTGCGCCAGGCGGGAGGCTCGGATCTGGGGGGACCGGAGCAGGGGTCAGAGGGCGCCGGGGGACTGGATAGCCTGGGTGGGGCGGGGGGAGCTGCAGGGGGGCACCGGTCAGGGGCTCGCCGCGGCCCCGCTCTGACCTGCGCCCGCTGCACCATCTCGTCGGTGGTCCCGAACCGCTCCTCCATGAGCGCGCGGATGTGCTGCGCCTCGAACTGCAGCTGCTGCCGGATCAGGTCCATCTTCATGGAGAACTGGGGAGGGAGCGGGGCGTGAGCAGCGCCCGGGGCACCGGGACCCCCACGCTACCGGGGCAGGCACTCACCGTCTCGACGTGCGGGAGCTCGTCCAAGCGCTTGGAGAGGCCCTGCAGCTGGGTGTAGTACCACAGCTTCTCCTTCTCCTCCTTCTCGATCCCGCTC